TGCAGCTGGAGCGCAGGCAGAGCCAAGTGTGCACGGGAGGGGCCGGGCAGGCCAGAGAGGGCGGCAGCGCGCTCCAGAGCGAGGCCCAGCGGCAGCAGCGGGAACCTGGAGCGCTATTCCTGGAACAAAGGCAAGCACTACGCGGGAGGGGACAGGAGCGCGGGGGAGATCGCGGCGACTCGAAGGTAAGGGAGGGGGAGGCGGGGCGGGAGGACGCCTGTAGCGATCTGGGCGGCGGCCACTGGCGCAAGGGACCATCCCCGGCCACCCGCCCCCAGCCCGAGGGTCTCCCGGCCTAGAAGTCCTCGTCCTCCACCCATCCAAAGACCCGCTTCATCTCGGCCAGGAAGCCCCGGTAATCATTGAGGAGGGGGCTCTTCTTCCTGATGTAGGGGATCACCCACTGCAGGGCCGGCCCCGTGAGGCGGGTGATGAGGAACGTCACCTTCAGGGCATCGCTGGAGAACAGGGTCTCGTCCACTAACATGTAGGCGCCCGTCTGCACGATAAACTCCGGGAGCCGGTCGGTATCGCCGTCGAACGTCTCGGGGAAGGGAATCGGGTTCCTCCACCGACGCGTCTGGGGCCGCAGGGGCAGGGCCAGGAGGGCCTTAATCAGCTGCACTCGGCCATCCATCGCGCCGCGCTAGCTCGGCTGGGCTCTGCGGCGCTCGGCGGGGAGGCGTGGCGGGAAGTGCGTGTGTGCGGAGGCGGGCCCAGGGCCTGGGTGGGCGGGGAAATGGGCGGGGGCCGCTGCTGCATGGCTCCGCCCACAGCGTCAATGATCGCTAGTGTGCAGGCGCGACATGGGGAGGCGCGCTGCAGTGGATGGTAGGGAGAAGGGAGTGGGCGTAACGCCCTCTCGAGGATGTGGCGTCGGAATTGAAGGGGCGGAGCTGAGGTTTCCCAGACAGGCCGCGGGAGAGGGCTGGTCGCCAGGCGAGAAGCCCAGGACACCTGGCTCTATATGGTGAGGATGGAGCCCGCTGCACTAGGAAAGAGGAAAGTCCAAATGCTCTGGATCTGAGGAGTCTGCCTAGTGTACATCCTCCCTGCCTGCCACTCACCTACCCTTGCGTGTATCTTAGCCCGCCTTCGACGATGACACTTCGGAAGATTATTGGTTGATCATTTTGTGAATTGTCCCTCTGCCTTTGTCTGATGCTGTCTCACGATTAGAATGAGTTATTTCTCCCTAGTATACCGCTGAAAAGATATCGTGTCTCTCATCGTATCATGTCAACGTCCTCATAATGTCAATATGTTTTATTACTGATGACGTGTACCATGATTACTTGTTTGCCATATATACTTTGCACACAGTTTGATCTACTGGGTTATAAGGTCTGAGGAGCAGGATAGTTTGCACTTCTGCTTGCATCCATACAGACTTTTCAGTAAGCAAGTCCTACCAGAGCAACTAAACGTGATGTATCTTGCCTCCAAGAATTCCAGGATGCCATCTATGAATTTTATCATTTTTTAGTAGTAAGAAATGAGAGATACCAAATATATTTTCTGTTTCTAATGGGATGATCATATGGATTTTTCTTTTTATATTTTCTATTGCTGTCTTAAATTATCAGAAGTTTACAACACAAATTTATCATATTACAGTTCTGTAGGCCAGAAGTTTGGTATGGTTCTTCCCAGACCAAAATCATGGTATTGGCAGTCGACGTTCCTTTCTGGATGTTCTGGGGGATAATCCTTTTCTTGTTCATTTGGGCTTTTGGCAGGATTCAGTTCTTGGTGGTTGTAGGACCCAAGTCCCATTTTCGTGCTGCCTGTAAACTGACGGCCATTCCCAGCTCCTAGAGGCCATCATGTCATGTGAGATGCCAAAAATGATTTCCAAAGTGGCTCTACTATTCTGTATTCCCACCAGCAATGTATGAGAGATTAGTTTGCTCTTCAAAGTCAATGACAGTTACTATTGTCAGATTTTGTTTTGTTCTGTTTCTTCTCTTTAGTTTTGTTTTTACTTTAGCCATTCTAATAGGTGTGAACTGGTAACTCATTGTGGCTTTAGATTGCAATTCCCTAATTATTAATGATGTTGAACATCTTTTCTGTGTGCTTATATGCCATACATATATCTTCTTTTGTGTTCAAATATTTTGCCCATTTTTAATTGGGTTGTTTACTTTTTTATTGTTGAGTTTTTAGAGTTTTGTATATATCCTATATTCAAGTCAATCAGATATGAGATTTACAAATATTTTCCCCAGTCTGTGCCTATTCTTTTCCTTCTCTTAACAGTGTTTTTTGAAGAACACAAGCTTTTCAATTTGATGAAGTCCAGTTTACCTAATTTTCCTTTTATGCATTATACTTTTGGTGTCATAGGTAAGAAATCTTTGCGTAATCTAAGGTTGCACAAATTTTTTCCTGTTTTATAGGAGTTTCATAACTTTAGATTTTACCATTCGATATATGAACGATTTTGAGTTAATTTTTGTAGATGGTATGAGGTATTAATTGAAATTTATTTTTTTGTAAATGGATATCTAATTGTTCCTGTATCACTGTTGAAAGGACTATCCTTTCTCTACTGAATTGTATTTACACCTTTGTCAGAACTCAGCTGTCCATATATGTCTGGGTCTATTTCTGGATTCCATATCCTGTTCATTCATCTGTTGTCTGTCTTGATGATAATACTACACTATCTTAATTACTATAGCATTATCATGAATTTTGAAATCAAATAGTATTAGTCCTCCAAGTTAGTTCTGTTTCAAAGTAGTTTTGGCCATTGTATGTCCTTTGCATTTCCATATGAATTTTAGAATCACTTACTTTTTACATGTTAAAAATTTTGCTGGGACTTTGAATCTATAGATCAATTTGAGGAGAATTGATATCTTAACAATATTGAGTCTTCCAACCCATGAACATTTATCTCTCCATTACTCAGATCTTCTGTAATTTATCTCAGGAATGTTCTGTAGTTTTCAGTGTACAAGTTTTTTACATTTTTTTGTCATATTTAACTCTAAGTTTTTCACTTTTTATGATGTTTCAAAATTTTTTTTAGTTTCAATGTTCTCTTGTTTGTTACTAGAAATATGATTGATTTTTGTATATTCATCTTGTGTCCTTCAACCTTGCTAGACTCACTTATTAGTTCTAGTTCTTTGTTGTTGATCCTAGATCCTAGAGAATCTGTTTTCTATATACATGATCAAGTGGTCTGTGAACAACAAGAGTTTGCCTTCTTTCTTCCTGCAATCTAGATGCCTTTTATTTCCCTTTCTTTCTTTCTTCCTTTCTTTCCTTCTTTTGTTTTTTCTTTTCTTCCTTATTGCACTGGCTGGAACCTCCAGTACAATATTGAATTGAAGTGGTTAGAGTGGGCATGCTTGTCTTGTTCTTGATCTAAGTGTGGAAAGCATTCTGGCTTTCACCTTTAAGTATGACGTTAGCTGTAGATTTTTGTAGATGGCCTTCATTAGACTGAGGAGTTCCATTTTATTCCTAGTTTGATGAGAGATTTTTTTTAAGAACCATATGACATAGAAATCCTCCTTCCAGGCATTTACCCTAGAGAAATGAAAACATGCTCACACAAGAAATCTGTACATGAATGTTTATAGCTGATTTATTTGTAATTGCTAAAACTTTAAACATGCCAAATGCCCTTCAAGGTGTGAGTGGATCACCAAACTGTGGTACATCCATCCATACTGTGGCCGACTTTATGTGGCCCCCTCTATCCCAACCTCCTGATGATGCCTTTGAGTATGGGTGGGGATTGTGACTTGCTCCTAACCAATAGAATATGGCAGAGGTAATGGAATGTCACTCCTATGATTATGTTGCATTATACATAATTCCAACTTGCAGGCTGACTCACTCCCCTTCTCCTGCTGGCCATGAAGCAGCAAGCTGCAGTGTTGTGAACTGCCTATGGAGAGGGCAACATGGCAGAGAATTGCTGGCAAGTTTTATAACAAATTAACAGATTTCTTAACACTTAACTGTATTTACATTAACTGGTCATGGTGCATTATTCTTTAAATATGATGGTCTGAATTATGTTGGCTAATATTTGGGGCTTTCCATTATGGTGCAAAGCAACCACGTCTACAACCAACAGTGCAAAACTTCTCTGGCTGAGAGATGCAAGAATAAGCAGGAACATGTGTTCACAGAACTTTACTCAGACGAGATCAGCAAAGGATACACTAGGGCTGAGATGGGGGCTGAATGGGTGAGGTGGAAGGACACTTTGACGCCCAGAACAGGGACCCTCAGGCCTCCATACCCAGCGGGCTCCATCCTCACCATATAAAGCCAGGTGTCCTGGGCTCCTCCCATGGTGCCCGGCCCTCTCCCGCGGCCCGCCTTGGGAATCCTCAGCTCCTCGCCTTCAATTCCAAACCCACCTCCTCCAGAGGGCGTTAGGCCCGCCCCCTTTCCCACCATCCCGGTCCACCCCTGCTCGCGTCCCCATGTCGCGCCTGCTCAGTAGCAATCACTGACAGTGGGCGGAGCCACGCTGGCGCCGGGCCCCGCCCATGGCCCCGCCCACCACGACTCCGCGCACGCGCACTTCCCGCTACGCCTCCCCGGCGAGCGCCACAGAGCCCAGCCAAGCGAGCGCGGCGCGATGGACGGCCGAGTGCAGCTGATTAAGGCCCTCCTGGCCCTGCCACTCCGGCCTCAGACGCGTCGGTGGAGGAACCCGATTCCCTTCCCCGAGACGTTCGACGGCGATACCGACCGGCTCCCGGAGTTTATCGTGCAGACGGGCGCCTACATGTTAGTGGACGAGACCCTGTTCTCCAGCGATGCCCTGAAGGTGACGTTCCTCATCACCCGTCTCACGGGGCCGGCCCTGCAGTGGGTGATCCCCTACATCAGGAAGAAGAGCCCCCTCCTCAATGATTACCGGGGCTTCCTGGCCGAGATGAAGCGGGTCTTTGGATGGGTGGAGGACGAGGACTTCTAGGCCGGGAGACCCTCGGGCTGGGGGCGGGTGGCCGGGGATGGTCCCTTGCGCCAGTGGCCGCCGCCCAGATCGCTACAGGCGTCCTCCCGCCCCGCCTCCCCCTCTCTTACCTTCGAGTCGCCGCGATCTCCCCCGCGCTCCTGTCCCCTCCCGCGTAGTGCTTGCCTTTGTTCCAGGAATAGCGCTCCAGGTTCCCGCTGCTGCCGCTGGGCCTCGCTCTGGAGCGCGCTGCCGCCCTCTCTGGCCTGCCCGGCCCCTCCCGTGCACACTTGGCTCTGCCTGCGCTCCAGCTGCAAGCTGGGCTCTGGTTACACACTGGACAGACCACTCACAGTCCGCCCCCTTGCCGGGCTACCAGGCCTGCATCGATGTGCCAGAGACCTGTGCTGCCGCCACCATCGCCATCCACCGCATCCCACCAACAGACTGCGGCCTTGAGTGATCTGGACACCCCCGGGAGGTATCTGAGCTGGCCACAGCCCCTGGACCATGATTCAGACAGCTCACGGCCCCCTGAAGGGGCCGGCCAGCCTTTCACCTTCAGCCGGACCCATTCCTTCCCTACTCCTAGAGACATCTGCTCCTGCCAGATGGTCCCCAGGTCCCAGGGGTGCCTGGCAGCTAAATCGAGTCACTCATTTTCTCCTGTGGACCTGTTAGTTTTGCCTAGAATCCAGTTCTCTTCTGAATTTGCAGCTGTCTCTCTGATGTGTGCCTTTTGTTCAGCACACACTCTGCCCAGTTCTTCTACACTACCTGGACAAAAGTCTTTTCCTTATTTTCAATAAATATCAGATGCTATTAAAAAGGAAATTGAGTCTCAATGACTATGGCGCCTCTCCCCCCTCCTCCAGTACGTGGGGTCCGTGTCTTGTTCAGCAGCTATGCCCCCTGCCGTTCTGTGGCTGATGTAGTGTCTTGTGTTATAAAACAGAAAAGATAGACCCTGTGGTGATCCTGGTGATGGAGACCCCACTAGTGATCGTTCAATCCCAGATGCTCATTCTTCCAAATCAGTCAGTTCCATGAGGAAATGGACCTTGATTTGATTTTGGCCAAGGTGAGGTAAGGAGAGGTCAGCTCGGACGCTCTTGGCAAAGATTTCCTCGTTTCCAAAAGGCCGCTGAAGCACAACACCTAATTTTTACAACGCACGAATCCTCCACATTTGTTGCTGAACACCTCTCGTAGTTTTATTTAGCCCATTATTCAGGGAACCAGCAGAGTGACAGGTGCTTCAGAAAAGGCTTTTACGTTTATAGAGCCTTGAGCGTGTGAGCAGTGGAGAAAGGAATGTAGAACTGAGATTGTTCATTTAGGTACAAACCTGGTTGATCACCTGCAGAACAATAAAATTAGAACTTTCTCTAATGGGCAGAAGAGGAAAAAACATTACTCTTTATTGTTTCTCTGCATGTTAACCTCTAAATCTACTGTGCTGAGAAAAGCCTCAGCTACCTCATCTATCACTGGGGAAAGTTAAACATCCTAGTAAAGTCAGATAAAAGATGGGGTTATAGGACAACACTCAATCAACTGCCTCATTTCTAATTTGGGTGATTTTTCCAAGATATACAAAAGAAAAATCAATCACAACAGTGATTTTCACTGTATTTCTCTCTTCCTTTGAGAAGGTAAACTGTTGCCCTTCAGGTGCAGTGGTTCAAAGGGCTGAACATAGAGCTGGAGGTACATTATCTGCATTATGTATCTGATGGTGTGTTTATTCCCAGAAATAGTGGAAACATCATTAACTTGCAATTTGGCTTCTAATAAGTCAAAGTCTTCTTGAAATCAGAGGGAATATTTGAGTTACTTAATAAATAAAATGAAGTTGTTACGGTTCACAGGGTTCTAAGGACAGTTGAAAGCAGCTAATTATGAGGTTCCAATCCAAGGTGCTGGCAGTCTGCCTTCCTGGATGGGGTGGAAGGATGACTATGTTAAACATATTCTCTGTTTGGTTGTAAATATAGATTCTGCTAAAGTGGTTTGAAAAGTGTTATGGAGTAGGTCCAGCATATTCCCTCTGATCTGTGTCCACCTGGCTCTAGAGGTAGGTCAAATGGGCAGGGACTGCTGGGTATTCTTTGAACAGTGTTAGTAACCCCCTACCTCCCTCAATAAACATTCCCCTGCAGTTTTCTTCCTCGTGCCAGAATGGCTCTGGTAGGGGACTGTTCATTGGTCTACACCGGTTGTAGCCTCCCAAGTCCTTTTTCGTGATACATTTGTCTTGGGGAAGGATAATATTTTGCAAGAATTAATCATGAACATCTTAGCAAGATTCCATAACGGACAGAAGAAATGGCATTTGTAAAAGGAGAAGGGGTGTTCTTTTTCATTGCTTTGCAATATCACCCCTTGCAGTTGTCATTTTATTTCCTCTCCCTCATTTTCTACTCTAATCTAAACAAGAAACCACACTTAAGTAGACAATACCAATAGACTGAAAAAAGGAAGAGGAATACGGGAGCTACCGGGCAGAAAAAGAAATTAACTTTTAAAAAAAGTTGATGATAAATGATTCCCAGTGAAATGCCCAGTATAAAGAAATTGGGGAATGCCACCACCTCCTACAGAAACTTGGAGGAATTTCTGATGATGCTATTCAGAAGAACCCGCCCTCATTATTCCCTCCTGGAACATACCATGTGCTGTGAGAGAAGCGAACCAGCCAACCACTAGGGCTGCAATGGTTTTTATCAGCCCAAGTGGTTCATATTCTTGGAGGGGGAAACCCCTGCAGTGAAGCAGGGATTACATTGTGGGATAGTATCATTTCTTTGTTATCTGGAAGAGAATTCAGCCTACAACATGGGAGTCTATTGGCTTGTAGATGGCCGTCTTCTCCTTGTCTTTTCACACTGTCTTCCCTTTATGCATGTCTGTCTCCTTGTCAAAATTTCCCCTTTTTATACAGACACCAGACATGCTAGATTAGAGTAAAATGACCAGCAGAATGACAGAGATGCTTCAGAAAAAGTATTTAGAGCTTTGATTGTGTGAGCAGTGGAGAAAAGAATGTAGAACTGTGATTGTTAATTTAGGTACAAACCTGGTTGATGACCTGTAGGACAACAAAATTGTAACTTTCTCAAATGGGCAGAAAAGGTAAAACGTTACTCCTTACTGTTTCTCTGCATGGTAACCTCTTGAATCTACATTGCTGAAAAAAGCCTCTGCTATCTCATCTATGATTGGGAAAAGTTAAATATCTCAACAGAGTCAGATAAAGGTGGGCTTATAGAACAACACTCAATCAACTCTCAATTTTAACTTGATTACCTCTGCAAAGACCTTATCTCCAAATAAGGTCATGTACGGGAGGTTTGGACTCCAACATCTTGTTTTGTGGGGGACATAATTTGTGGAAATTAATAAAAGAAACCTTAACTAAATTGGAGTTGGGAAGGCTTGTAGGGGGAGATCTCATGCCCTATCATGCATCATCAATTACACCAAACAGGAAGAGACTGATGTTTGCAACTTCCACAGGAAGTAAAATTACTTTATTACTGAAGGAAGATTTCTCTCCCCACCAGGAAACAGCCCAGCCAATGAGAAATGCCACAGCTCAGCCAGTGAGAAGCCGTTGCCGCCCTGAACTGTTACTTGCCCCCAATGGACTTCTGTTTAGAACAGTCCTTCCTTACTCTCCCCTTTTCTCTATAAAAGCAAGCTCCTTTCATTTGTTTTCTGGATTTGTCTATGGTTTGCCATAGCACGCACATCTCGAATTGCAATTCTTTTGGCTATTCTTGAATAAACTCATTTTGAGAGTAAAATAACAGGCGAGTTTGCCTTTTAAGTTGACAACTTCAACCAATAACAGGTCCCATGTTCATATCAGTGTCTCATGAGAAAAACTAGCTGGCCTGTTCTGTCCATGCAGCTTGTTTATCTAGGTCCTATATGTCATTTCACTCTGAAATGGGTAGAAGATGTGACGGAATTTACCTCTCTTTAAAAAGGAAGAGGCTCTTGGATCCTTTCAGTGCAGCAGGTCTGTGGGAGGAGAGATAGAGATAGAGATAGGGAGAGGGAGAAAGAAAATTAATCTTAGTGCAATTCAGACCTTTAACGCCTGTATTGATCCCCTGAGCGTGTACACAACTTTCTTTTTCTGGTGGATCTTGCACAGCTTTTCAGAAAACTTTTTAGATAAATCAGCATACTCACTCTGAAACCCTCTCCTCCTCATCAGAAGTGTCCCCTGGTAAGTAGGTCTGCATATTGGTCTTGAGACCTAGATAATTTTTGGAGTTACAAATTGTCCTAATAATTTCTTATACATTCCAAAATTTCTATGGGACATTATAATGTAGAGACACAAGAGAGTGCTAGCAACATAGATAAATGTTTTTACAGCAACATTTTGAAATTTGAAAAATGATTATATTGGTGGTGAATTACATTGGTGCATTCAGCTCTCTAATCTTTACCAGACTGTATGTCTTAGATGGTTAACGTATGATATATTTATAATACCTAATATTAGTATAATACTTTCACAATTCATTTGCCATCCACTTTAAATCTTCTCTGCAAAGCTTGATTAGTTGACTGGTTCACTCATTTGTCAGTCAGTCATTAATTTATTAAGTACTTCCTGTGTCCCAGGCACTATATGATATTACACACATTTCTTAATCTTCCTAAGCCATTATTTCCTCACATGTAAAGTGGGTAAAATAATAATATTGGATTCCTTATGAGAAATCAATGAGCTAACATATAGTCTGAGCGTTCAATATATGGGACTTGCTGTAACTATAATAACAATAACTTTTATCATTTTTTTAGGGTATGATAATGACTTGAGGCTTGTATATGACACAATGGGAGCATAAGATAAAGAGCATTTAAATCTGTCCTAGATGATGCAGGGACCATCTTAATAGAGGAAGTAGTAAATGAGTTGAGACTTGATTCCAGCCTAAGAGAGCCACCTCTATCCGAGGTTCAGAAGAATGAGAGAGCGTGGTTAGTATATAAAAGTCAGGGACAGGACATGGTAGGAGTTGAAATGGCACAGATAGAAGGCTACATCATGAAAAATCTTGTATGTCATGTTAAGGCATATATCAATTATCCTGTATTCACTGGGGAATAATGGAAATATATCGAATGGGGGACTAATGTGATTAGATTTGTGTTTTAATGTTTACTCTGGAGCTGACGTTCAAGACAGATTGTGGGAGGATGGGATGTAGGCCAAGTCCAGTAACAAGTATTTTGCAGGTGATAGTTATCGAGGGCTTAAAGAAAAAGAGGATGGTAAGATAAAGGTGACATTCAGATTTGTTAGAACTTGGTGATTAGCTGGAAAGTGGAGGTTGG